CCTGGTCTCACAGGAAGTGCAGGGATCTCCAGGATCACACCTTTTTCTGAATAGCAGGTAAACAGAGACAGACTTCCACCATCAGATTGGAGTCACACAGAGACAGAGACACAGCTGGAACATCTCACTGTACCTGAAACACTGATGGACACTTCATCGCTCTGCTGTCCAGATGAGCTTTCACACCAGAAGGTTCCACTGTAGGACGAGTTACGATCCAAAACGCACAAACTTCCACTCATCTCAGCTGCTCCACAGTCCTCAGTGGGTCCTCCGCTGGTCATCTTCACTGTCCATCCATCAGCTGTCTGTCCATCATCAACACAACTCAGAGACACTGAAGAAGATCCACTGAAGACCTGCTGAAGGTTTGGACTGACAGACAGAGACACTGGAGGACAGACAGACAGATAATCACCACCAAAGAGGAGAGGACCAGCGTCACGATGATCATCAAACTTCACACCGACCTGCATCAAAACCAGAATCCAAATGTGCAGCCAGCTCACATGAGCATGGTTGCCATGGTAATTTGAATTTGACAGGATGCAGACCAATTAACTCTTTACTTGGCATGACTGACTACAACTGATAGGTGTGGGATGGTAACTATGGAGATGCCAGGGGAAAAAGAAGAAACCCAAAGAGTAGGTTCATGGATGTCTTGAAGGAGGATGTTCAGAGGGTTGGTGTGACCGAGGAGGATGCTGGGATAAGATGAGATGGAGGCAGATGACCTCCTGTGGAACCAGCTAAAGCAGCAGCCAATAGAAGACGAAGAGGACGACACATGAAGAAGACTGCCACTTATTTCAAAGTTCTCATCCAGAAATTTGGCTTGCCCTCTAAGGAACATCCCTGAAACCTGGGAGACCTACAAAACGTTTACCCTGAATTTAAGGGAGAGGTGGACCACCATCATATCCCTTTATAAATAATGATAACAAAGAATCCACTTTAAGAAAAAACTTTTATTTCTATCTTCTTTGTCTATTTAGTTGGCAAAACTGAATTTCTGTTGAGGTGATGTTGTTTTTACATACTGCTGTTTAGTATTTGGTTTGTTCTGAATAAATATCCATGTAGCTGCCATCACCAGTGTGTGAATGTGTGTGTGAATGGGTGGATGACTGGATATGTAAAGCGCTTTGGGGTCCTTAGGGACTAGTAAAGCGCTATATAAATACAGGCCATTTACCATCCATTTTCTTCACAGTGAACCGAGGATGCTTACACCAGCTGTCAGTGATCAAAAAACCAGGGCACATCATGGACAGGTTGGCAGTCCAAAACAGAGACATCACTGTCAGTTAATCTAACAAGACTCAAACTCTTGACCTTCGTGGTGTTTGGTGATGATGCCAAACCTCCACCACCATGCCAACTGTCAGAATACCATTCTGCTTAGTGTGTGTATTAGTTAGAGTGTGTATTAGTTAGAGTGTGTATTAGTTAGTGCTGTATAAGGCAGGGTGCTGGAAAGGAGAGTCCGTCCACTAGTCGAGCCCATTGCTATGGATCATTAGATCCTCATAAAACCGTTACAAGACCTTGGTCCTCATAGCTGGCAATAAGTGGAACTCGTTCCCAGTGGGTGTTGGACTCTGCCAGAGCTGCCCTTTGTCACAGATTCTGTTCATTGGTTTGGGAATCTGAACAGGATGCCTCCAGAGCATCTCCTGGGTGTTCCTGGCATGTCCACATCTCACCCAGGAACACTTTACTACTGTTTTCATTGTATCTCCTGCCACTTGGTGTGATTTTCTGAAAACATGAAATTTCATTTCATCTATATGCTGATGATTGCCAGCTTTATCTACCTTTCAATCACTCTGATAGCTCATCGATTGGACTCCTGCTTGATTGTCTTAGAAAAGTTAAATCATGGATGGCTCAAAATGTTTTACATTTTTATGAACAAACAGTGGAAGCAATTTTATTCAGTCCCAATCGTTCTTCTGGTATCCCAAATGTTCACTTTGCTGCTCTGACCCCTCGCTAGAAGAGCTCTGTTACTAATCTTGGGGTAAAAATCGACACTGCACTTAGTTTTGATGGCCACATGGCGGTGAAATCTTCATTCTATCACGTCAGATCGAAGCTAAAGCCCTTTCTGTCCAGGCATGAACTTGGAAACTGTCATCCATGCTTTGTCACCTCACGCTTCGAAAACTCCAACTCCCTTTTAATGGGGATTGGCCAAGCCACTCTGTCACGCCTGCAACTGGTGCAGCACGGTTTTTACCACATTTAGTTCAAAATATAGTGAGAAATGTACCAACACACATACAGTATGGCTCAATTAACCAGAGATGGAACTAAAGTGTGTCAATAAAAATAACCTCTGTGGCCATTAACGTTTCGACAGTTAGTATTAAAGACTATAAATCTTTAAATCATCAATTATAACTGTCAAAAATGTGTATGTGTCATCAGCATAAGAGTGGAAGAGCTTTGTTTAAGAACTTTTAAAGACCATTAGAAATCAGTACAATCAGTACGTAGTTTTGAGGCACCACACATGCCTCTGACACATCGTCAGATAAAATAACTTCATTTTGTCTTTGGCTGTCTTTTGCAATTATTGTGCAAATGTATTCTAAATCAGCAAAGAATCAGTCTGCAGGAAATTGTTCTCTGACAGCCACGCCTTGGAGAAAACTCATTTCCACCCATTGCATCCACAATCTTATTCTTTCGGTCAAAGTCAGAGTTTGTGAGAATGGGTGAGGGTAGGGATGCAGATCGACTGATAAATCAACGGCTCTCTCTTCACCATGACGGACCGGCATCTGTCAGCATCTGCATCACTGCAGTCGCACTAATTCATGCAGGAAAGTTTCTTTATTTTTGTGTCTGAGAATTTTATGTTTAATGTACAGTACGATTCAGTCACTATGTGTCTTTTGCAATGTGATATTTTTATTAAGTATCTTGAAAAGTATTTGATATATGAAGTTAAAAATCCTTATATAAGGTCCGTGTTATGTGACATGGAATGACTGACC